TAGTTAAAATTCAAATTATTTGGCAGTCACCGTCGGTGAGAAAATTTTCCACCCAAGTATTTTTGACAGTGACGCAATTCGTGGCTTGTGAAATCATGGTCACTTTGACATGATGGAAAGGAGAAACTCAAAATACCATCGCCAGCACCTTGTTTAACCACACCTGAATTTGAACTGTACTTTGACAATAACTACCATTTCGGTTAGTGAATCAGTCGATTTATCCGCTGATAGTTGGTAAATTACCGCAACTCGAACATGGCACCGCAGTTTACACGTGGAAGCTACGTGTGTACCAAGATTCATGTAAACTGAGCTTCTCAGTCTTAAAAGCAATAACATGCCCCATCCCTAAGAAGTTATTCTCAGAAACCTGGCATTGCATACACTTACTTGCCTCTCAAGTCTCCTCTAAAAATTGGAGGGAAATAAGGTTTATTTTACCTCAACTTTGCTGGAAGGAACACGTACGTATAGACAAGAATATGATTCAAGACGTTCTATGTGCAAAATCTTATCATATTGCCTTATATCATTTCTACCGAGGAAAATGAGTAAACACTTAAATTTCCATAACGCCAACTCTGTGTATTGTCCATGATGGATGACATGAGCAGTTGTTACTAGACGGTGGAGAACTGTCTCCTGTTACTTAAGCTTCTAAACCCAGTAGTGACTGGCTTCTGATTTCTACTCACAGTATCACCCTGAAAGTAAAGTTCATGTGAATAAATGAAATGATCACCAATCTAATAAACTCCTTGCCATTACCATAGAAAAGGTAGAGAAATCCATGTGAAGGAAATGAGCATTTAAGTTAGGTGGTGAAAGGTTTAGAATACTCTCCCACTCCTACATCTCAATGAAGAAAACCTTGTCTGATTGACAAATAGATTCCAAGTTGCCATGCATCTGTTCAGTAATAGATTACAGATGATGTCAAAATGTGGTAAGAACAAAAAAGTGGCACATGAGGCACAGCTGAGTGTGTCACTGATGTTCTTACCACATTTGACGTCCTCTGTGATCTATTACTGGGAATCTATTTGTTTTATATAATAAAGAATTAAAAAAAGTTTTAATGATGACATCATTTATATGTCTATCCTCTAATAGATCATAAGTGAGAACCAATCAGAATGCGTGCATAACTGAGCTTATTATATAATATCAATTGTTTAACATTCCAGTTATTTCGGGAACTGAAAGTGACAGTGATGACGAATTACCAGAGCTCGAGGAAGGAGATGCTGGCCAACCAGCTATTTCAAGTGAAGTGGCTGCCGCAGCTGGATTGACTGAGGAACCTGTCAGCAAAGCAAAACAGAGCAGAGGAGAAAAGAAAGCCAGAAAATCTCTGTCAAAAATTGGACTCAAAACTGTTTCTGGAGTGACCAGAGTAACAATACGGAAATCCAAAAATATACTATTTGTTATAAACAAGCCAGATGTTTACAAAAGCCCAGCCTCGGATACATACATAGTGTTTGGTGAGGCAAAGGTATGTGTTCTATAAGTTTCTATTTTGTCCAGGTAATTTTATCTTACATTTTACAATGTGCTTGCACTTTAGAGTGTTTGCAAGGAAACATTTTGATTTGTGCTTATTTCAGGTTAGCTCGTGACAATAACTCAGTTTTTTCATGGCTGGAAAGCTGGTGAATTGAGTAATTTGTTTGGACAAAAACAAAGGAAATTCATTCTGGAAAACAAAAGAAAACAGCTGTCATGGAAAAAATTATTTTCAAATTTTTTTGTGAGGAAACACCTACATGTATTTACATAGAGTACAATTCATCCATCTTGATGTTGTGTAGCATCAGTCAAATTAGTACCCTTTGAAACGTAAGTGCTATGTTTTTGTCCATTTGTGCCCAGTGACGATAAAGATGCCTTATGGTGAGGAAAATCTGCCAAACTTAAAAGCCTCTTTCCTTATGTTTGTATTGTTTTGATTTTGTGTAAACTTGCATACATTACTTCATTTGTGTTGTGTTACACCCATACACTTGGCTGGAAGGTTTGGTTAGATGTGGTCCACTGATCTAAAGATTATGAGATCTGAGGGCACACTTCTACATTCTGTGTGTGTCTTTATTACCATTTTCATTTTTCACTGTTTGTATCTAACACACATTCCAATTTCTCTTTAGATTGAGGATTTGAGCCAGCAAGCCCAAGTTCAGGTGACACCTTTATTTATAATCCTAGTGATTACAAATTCTTTTGTTATATACTATGAATGGAAATAAAGGTGAACTTTACTTACACATTTATGAGATCTATCTTTGCCCTCTTTAAACTCTTTGGATTGGTACTTTCCATGTGTTAGTTAAGACAACCAACTATCCAGAATATTTTCATGACAATTTACAGTGATCATTGGTTTCTAGGGAATGAATTCTTTCTGGAACTGTTTTCTTAATCCTTTACACCTTTGTTCATATGAGCTAGTGTTTGATCAGATGTGATTTTGTGTTTTCATGCTTTCAATTATTGTAGGCCGCTGAGAAATTCAAAGCTCCTCAACCAGCCCCTGCCATCCCAGAAGCAAAGGCAGCTGCCATGGAACAGGAAGAAGAATCTGAGGAAGAAGAGGTATGTAGAAATTTTCTTCATTAAGCTTCTAATTGCCAACTCCTGTTTCCTTGGGGGTTGATGGAGCCTTTGCAACAGTATCACAATTTTAAAATTTTCACCATGGCAGTACCATCTGAAAGGAAAAAAAACTCCTTTTCCCTTTTTTACATCTTCACAGAGCAAAATTTCCCTGACTTTTTTTATATGAGAAAAATTTTTTTGTTACTGGTGTCTTTTCATTGCTGGAGATGAAAATATGAACTTCCTGCATTTTCACTTATATTGAACCTCTGTCAATTGCAGATCAATGATAGCAATGTGGAGGAAAAAGATGTTGAAATTGTTATGCAGCAAGCTAACGTCTCCAAATCTAAGGTATGGTACTAATTAGTTCCAGATATCCAATACCAATTGTTGTGGTTTGTATGCTTATGTTGCTGTTGCTTTCCTCTTTTTTTTTTTTCTTGTGTTTTTTCCAAAAAAAAATTTACCTTATGAAATTCTAAATTGAGTTTTGTCTTTTACATAATTATGTCCTTGTGATTGCAAAATACATATGATAGGCTAAATATTCTTTAATTGACTGATTGGGAGAGTAATTAGTCATGACCTCAAGCCAAATGTTTTCCTGTCCAGTACAACTTAACTCAGTCAATGAGCATTTCATCTTCTAACCACCACTATTTCTCTTTCTTTCTTTCATCTTTCAACTTGCATCCCCTGAGGTCGAACAGCTTTTTCTGCCTCTGCTCACATCATCCTTTACCGCCCTAGTGTAGTGTACTGTATAATGTTAGGTTTTTTAGTGCTTGCAGGGCTGTTTGGGCCATACAAGAAGAAAAAAATCTGTTGCCTTTAGATCATGATGAAAGAGGTTTTTTATGTACTCAAACTGAAAATTAATGTGTTCTCCCTTCCAAATCCTTTTTATAGGCTATCAAAGCGTTGAAAAATAACGAAAATGATATCGTCAATGCCATTATGGTAAGTTTCTTCCTTGGTGTATCATGTTGTAGATTGGTAAGAAAATTTATTCCTTTCGGGTGTCAGCTGAAGAATGGCAATATCATTCAAATGTCCATCCTAAGGTCATAGATGCCTGGAATGGGGATTTTTTTGGTTCATTATTTTCCTGTTCGTTTCCTTTTTTTTTTTTTTTTAAACCAGCATCTTGTCAGGAGGGTATTCAAAACTGTTTCATCTCGTTTATCTCAGCTTCCATCATACACAGCTGTCTTAACAACATGCAAACCTTTGGGGTCACTTTGCTAATAACATGGTTTTTTTTTTTCTTTTTTTCAGGAACTGACTATGTAAATTAACCGTGCATCAACTTTTAAAATCTTCTTTGCTCTGTACAGGATTTTTGCATTTTGACATGTTGTCTTTGGTTGGGAAAAAAAAAATTGGAATAAAGTAGCCATTAACAGAACTGAAAATGTCCTGGTCTGTTGTTTCCTTGTCATTTTTAGTGTCTGAAGGTGTACATTTATGGTAAACAAGCGAATAACTATGACAGAAATTTTTCCATATTTATGTCCGTGTAATTCATTAGTCCTCTGCAGATATTCTTTCGCCTGCTTAGTTAAACTGTCTTGAGAAATAAGCTCACGCCCCCATTGTCATGGTTAGATTTTCACTACATCTTGATTTGGACAACATTTTAAGCAAAATGGGTGCGGGGTTGTGGGGTCTCGATACCAACATCAAAGCCAAAGAATTGTGCTTTCCCACGATTCCAACACAAAATATATGGTGAAAAGATCTCTTTTTAATTTACGTATTTACACTACACGTAGAGATGTAAGAAATCACTTTACATCTGTGAGCTTGGTACAGATTTTTTTGGTATTCATGAGATTTTTTTTTCACGCATGAAAAAGCGCGTGCAGAGCAATATGTTGTATTCGGTTGACTTTTACAATCTAAAGTTATACAAACTCTACAATAAATACTTTTGTTTAACATACTCTATTTGAAATAAAACTCGTTTTCTTTTTTTGTCAATCCAACAGCGCCAGAAGTGAGTGTTTATCTTGATAATTTTCGTAACAGGTCACCGTGCGCTCTTTGCGGAAATTCCTTCCCGTATCAGAGACAACAAATTGACTTAAACAACAAATACGGCGTTGTCTTAGTAGATTGGTTAAGTGCTATAGAAGAAGATTAACCTACAGCACGCCTCAATGCTGCATACTGGCCTTTTTCCAAAGGCGATCCCTTTGGATGGAGGGGTATGCTACAGAAAACAAATCATTTCTGCCATTTTGAACATTAATATAACTGCAGAAGGATTTCAGTAGAGAGCAGAAGTATATCGGGATAAGTGAAATTATTTCTCTCAAAAGTTTTCTCCTACGTCTGTAGAACATCAACAAATGTGACAAATTTTGATCTCAACCTTGGAATTAAGATCCACACCTTCGGATTTCGCGCCGTGATGCCCTATCGTTGAGTTTAAGGCAACTCTAAGGTGAGTACATGCGTGGTAGAGCATCGAAGCGCAAAATCCAAATGTCTGAGGTTCTATTTCTAGGGACACTCCGATTTTTTTCTTTGTAATACGCTCGTGACAAGACGATTAGATCTTTCTCGATGAGGAGTGCAAAAGTTTGATTGTGGCTAAAATGATTCTACTTCCACTTCCCTATCAGCTTCATCATCTTCCCTCGGCACTGTCTGCAGCTCGTCCTCATTCCAAACTAAATTGTAATTGTTTTCCAAGTCTTGTTGACGCTTTCTTTCTTTCCCAGCGTCAGGACTACCTCCCTGAGAGATTAGGAAAAGAAAATTGACCGATGAGGTTCAATTAAAATATATCGGTATAACCTTCAAAAACTTATTAATTCAAACTGTCGATTTTCCAAGTGGTACTAATGTACCGATTGAAAGTCTAGCAAAGAATATGAACACGTGACTGTTCGACCACAAAAACAGGGAGAAGTCAGTTACATCTGGTACGTTACTTTTAAAGGAATGATGTGCATCATTTGTCACTCTTGTGAACGGGGATATATGCCAGATCTTTTTTTTTTTTCCATTTTCTTTTCAAGAGATTATAAACTGTTTACAAGCTCTCCATTATTTCGAAACCGGTCTAACAGCCCATCCGCTTGTGCGTCGTTATCAACAGACACAGATCAGTGCCTGAAACCGAAAATTGAAAATTGGACGCTTTTTCGTTCATTTGTACTATTTTCAAAATGTTTCGTGTTCTTAACTCACCAATAGACCAAGGATCATGTTTTTAAATTGATTTTCTTCATCGTCACTGAGTAACTTCAAATCGCTTTTGCCTTCCATTTTCTCCAGAGCGTCTTTGGATGTCACAATCTTGACTTTTATCTTGCCTAAACATGATTACACTACATGTCAAGATTTATACTTAAGTGAAGAAACCACGTTACTGATTGGACATCTCCACTTTATTAAGTGCGTTATCAATTATAATATGGTTAACCTTCTTCATTCCTTTTTTAATTATTTCTTCGAATAAATGATTTATTATTTTGCAGTGTTCTTGAAGTGTTGGGTAGCTTCGTAAGTACCCCCTCTCTTTCCCCCCCCCCCTCCTCAAAGCAAATGAAAATATCATGATGTAGCTCCTTCCACTTCGCAAGGAAAGCATCAACCCACTCACTACCAAGATGAAAAGATCACTTCTCCACACCGTCTACCTAACATTTCAATAAATAAAGTTTGGAGAATGTAGTATTAAATCAAACAATGTTCCCTGGTTATTGTTTTTCTGTCTTCTCATCATCTTTCCTTTCTGGACATTCTTGGGATTGAAGGAGTTGAAGAAACTACAGCATGTCCAAGCACCGGCTGCAGACAAAGAACATTACAGATCTTCAAGTATTATCTGAATTCTAATTAAGTTTGTCATACCTGAAGGCAACACTCCTGAGTCTCTCAGCTGCTGTTTGACTAGTTCTTCCATTTTCTTCGTAGCCATACGAATTCGCTTTTGGAGACCTAACTCTTCCATCTCTTCATCGTCAAGATCTGCTTCTTCCATCTCGGAGTCTTCATTGTCGCCAACGAATACTTTCTTAACCTTTGACACTTTCACTTTTACTCCTGTTTTCGTGTCACTCTCATCAGACGATTCTGATGACTCTAATTCGTCAACGTCGTCAATTGTAGAACTGGCAGAGTTTATTTCCGTGCTGCCTTCATCCCCAAAATCTGCAGCTTTTGCATTCACTTTACTGTTCACGTCCAGATCTTGGATCATAGTTTTCACCTTGTTCACGACTTTATCAATACCACCTTTCGTTGGCAAAAATTGCGCCTTATCCTTCGACTCCTCCTCGGCATCTTTGTCACCAGAAAATTTTCCTCTCATTTTTGTGATATAATCTAAGTCTTGGTCCAGCTGGAATCGCCGCAAAAGAATTTTCTTCAAAAGTTTGTTGCTCCTAAGAGAAAGTTCTAGCAAGTCGCCTTTCGCGGCTGGTTTATCTTTACCTCCTATCATATTGAATATCTCTTTATTGAGTTCTTTGATTGATTCCATGTCATCATCTAGTTGCCTAAAGAGATAAGAACACGAATTTGAATTAAGATTGAACTTTTCTCTAGAACATTGACGCATAAACATACTGACATAGTGTGAGAATCATACAAGTAACCACCAAAGAAGAGATAAACAGTTTTCAAAGGAAGTTAATTTGCTCGGAGATGCTGATCGATTCAACTTGATATCAAACGTGGGAAGTAGAAACAACCATTGTTATTTTACTGTCACACAAACAAGGTGAATCTGATACAATAAACTGTCTAGGAGAGAATGCCATACGAGTTGTTGACTCACCGGCCGACTAGATGCCTGAGCGATTGACTGCAAAAACGACGACCGACCGACCGACCGACCACGAAGTAAACCATAAATAACGAAAACAACAATTCGACCATTGGCATTTCAATTATTACATTAAAAATCTATTTCCTGGTAACTTACAAGTTGGTTTTCTCAAAACGTTCAATGGAATCCTTTATCTTGCTCAATGTTTTGGCAAGCTCTTTGTCTTTCACACCATTTGTCTCCTCAATCTGTTGTATCTTTGTCTTAACGATTTCAACTTCACTCTTCATTCGACCGCGTTCTTCGTAAAACTGTTTTTCCAACTCAGCTTGCATTACAGAGGCAGCTTCTAACAAATTCTTCATCATGCCCCCGCTAAAAAGCTGTCAACAATAGAACGAATTGAGTCAATCGGGCTATTTTAGCGAGAGACGGAACTTTCTATCGGTTCACAGGCGCAATAATTCATGCAGAATGTTAGGAAAAAAAACGAGATCCAGCGAGTGATTTACATACTTTTCTCGTGTTCTTATAATAAAGCGACGGTAAACCGGTAGAAAGTGCGATCTATTACTGTTATGACATAAACTTAAAACAAAACACAGCGTGTTTCAATTTTCAGTGGGTTTACCAGTGCAGTAAACGATCAAAAGGTTTTTGACCGATCAGAGCGCCGGCAGTATCTCAGTTATTTCATGAAAAGCTGTAGCTTCTAGCTAGCTTAAACAGTTAGAAAAATGTTTCGATTCTTTGTAGAAGAGTAATGTCTTATTTCCAGAAAAAAAAATTGCATAAAAGCATAACTTTCCAAAGAAATATTTACGAGTCGACCCTGTATGAATAAGGGCTATCATTTGCCATTTAAAGGCATCAAATTTAGCTTTTTAAACCTTTGATTCTCAAAAGCTGAGTAGTCTCCTATTCGCCTACATGCTACAAAACATTTCATTGTACAATACTTGAGAGAATTTGGTGTTGCATCAAGATAACGCAACCCGATAAGCTAGTCCACTCTCATCACTTATTTGCGGGATAACCATTGAAACTGTGAACCGCTTCTGGGAGCTGATGGGTGAGGAAACAAAGAACAAACCTTCTGAAACTCTTTAAGTGATTCCGCAAAGTAATTTATGTTAGGCTTTGACTTCTGCTGTTCCTTTTGTGGCGTGTCTTCATCTTCATCTTCATCTTCATCCTCATCCTCATCTTCAAGTTTTTCGTCTTTCTCATCAATTTTTTCATCTTCATGATTTTCTGTTCCAATCTGACTGTCGGCAGCATCCTTCCCCTTTTCTCGGTTTCCCACACTTCCAAATTTCTCCTCGAATTTCTTATCCAACACTGTCAGTCAAAAAAAAAAGTAAAGGTACAAAAATATAAGGTGCTGAAGGCCATAACGAAAAAAAACATATCTTCAAGATTTGACCATCGACGAGGAACAGAAAATACAGACTGAAGTAAAACATTATCCAAACTAGATCGGTATTCGCTAACGACTGACACAAATAACCCTGGAAGGACGATGAGTATATGTGACGGCAAAGAGCCACAGAATGAGATAATCAATTGGAAAAGTTTCGACTAACTTTCGCAGATTTGTCCATTATTTTGACACCTGACTGGCTTCGACAAACACCTTAGCTAGCGCACTAGACTACGGCTCAATCTAAAGAATTAGAATGATTCTTTACGTAAAAAGACAACGAAAGAATTAAAATTTCTGCCGTCTTCTTCCGGCTCTTTGTTCATTTAAATGTAAAAACAATTGAATTTTAGGAAAGTAGCAGATTTGCTCAATATTTCTGCTAAATCTACTACGAGAAATGAACAAGATCAGCGTTTCTTTTTGCAATTTGTTCTTGATGTAAACTTAAAGAGCTTAAAATCGGTTTTAGTGATGCGAATGAGTTCCCATACAAGCAAACAAAAAAGTGGATAGATGGTAATTCTAATCACAAGAATCTACCATAATTCACCTTCAGGATTGAAACCAAACTTGCTTAATTTCTCTTTCAAAGTAGATCTCAGTTTAAGAATTTCTTCATCCACTTTATTCCTCCATTCCTCATCCAAACTTTGCTCTGTTGTAGTTGTTTCTTTTCCACCTTCTTTGCTGACTACATCAATGACCTCCTCTTTCCCTCCTTCTGCTGGAATACCTTCATCTCCTTTAACCCCCTGTTTGTAGTTTTGTTCAGTAGCTCCTTCAACAGCCTTCTCCATCTCATTACCGTCAACATTTTCCTCTTTCTCGATACTTTTCTCCGTCCCCTCAATTGACTCCTTTGATTCTTCTTTATCCGGCGTTTCTTTCATTTCATCTTCGGCAGGATTTTCTTCTTTCTCTTCAGCGTCTCCTGTTTGTCTGTAAGAAAATAGCGAAATAAGGACCTGCTGTATAAGAAAGAAGGAGATTCCCTCTAAAATTAAGAGTGTGCTATAACGACACCCATATTCAACAGTTACAGTAGTTAACATTCAGATCAAAGATCAAAATCTAAGATGGTACATGTCTTCCCAAAAAAAGCCGAGGAGGTTCGCAAAGAAGACCGAAACTTTCCTTCTAACTTAAACATGGACATGCCGCATCCGCATCCTTCAAACTAACCAATGCAAAATAACGGGCCGGATCTCTGACAGAACGCATTCAAAAAATTTGTAAGAGAATCAGTAACGAGCATTAGAGTGTATCAGCTCATTACATTTACCTTTCCATGACAGGTTGTCTCTTCCTGTGTATCTTTTGACTCATGATGGTGATACCTTCACTTTCAAGATGTCCCATTGCATTTTTCTTGCGCCCCTTGGTAATGTCCAATCTGTGCACATCAATTTTGTCCTGCTCGATTTTTCCATCAATCCAAACCTCATCCTCACTTTCAACTCCAGGGTTTTCCCATGGCCACACTTGGCTTCGCTTTGATCTCGTATTCTTTGTATCAAAGACTTCTTCATCATCGTCCTCTATTTCATCTTCACCTTCTACTTTCTCTACAGCTCTTGCTTTTCGAGCTCTGTTTTCAGCTTCTTTGGCAGCTTTGGCCTCCTCTTGAGCCTTTTTTCGTGATTCTGTAATTTATAAGATAAAACATCACAAGAGCAGCAATGGGATGCCATCAGCTTCGGTTATGCCGTACATCTTATTTTCAAACGACTTACACAAAGTTGACACACTTACTCTGAAAAAGTTCCCTGATTGAAACTACTCACCGACTCTTTCTACATAAATTTTATATCGTTCCTCTGATAATGCTGGAGAGCAGGTAATAGACTGGGGTTCCTGTACTTGGGAGGACCTGAACAAGTTGTGTTTGCAAAGCTTGTTGGTGTGTACTGTAATTACATAGGAACAGGACGATGGTTCATCCACTCTTACTACAAAATCTGCTCTATCTTCATCACAGAATATCTGAAAACAAGAAAGTAATTATGAAAACAGAGAGTCTCACCAAGAGCCAAGGGATGTGGAAGCATTAACAAAATGAACACAACAGATGAGGAAAACAAGTAGACAGCTTGGTTTCCCTGCAGAGACAGAGAAATTGAGGAGCAGAGGAACATATAAGAATAAAAAACTAATAAATGAAGGTAAAAGCAGAAAAAGGGAAGGGATGAACTGTAGAAGAGGCATACTTTGAGATGATAGAATCAAGAAATTAAGAAACTGTGGGAACACAGAAATGAAAGAATTAGGGGGAAAAGAAATATTCCAAAATAAAGACAGCAAAAAAACAATACATAAATGGCAGAAAGAAAGCTTGCACAGGGAAAGAGAAAAGGAAGGGAAAAGGAAGGGATAGGAAGAGAAAAGGAAGGGAAAAGGAAGGGAAAAATAAGAGAAAAGAAGGGAAAAGGAAGGGAAGAGGAAGGGAGAAGGAAGGGAAATAGAAGGGAAAAGGAAGAGAAAAGGAAGAGAAAAGGAAGGGAAGAGCTAGCAAGGGGGGATGAAGATTAAAATCAATCAAGGAAAAGAAGAAATAGAGGTAAACAATTTAAACCAAAGTGACAAATACTGCAGCTACAGTACCTTAATTTGTGTTTCTCTTTCTTTTCCTGTCAAATCACACTGAGTACCATTCACATAATACTGGGAATGATATTTTTTAGCCACTGAACTTTTTCCTGGTTTTGGTTTTTCCTGGAGGAAAAAAGAGAGAAAGCACTTAGTCTTACTCATGCTGACTTGCATGCCATGGAACCTTCTGGAACAGACTGTTTGGAATGCTATACCAAGAGAGGGAGCCACTGTGAAAGATTGTTCATTTCAAGGAATTTTGGAGACAAGTGTGGGTTTGTGTCAGTGGTGAGCTAAGGCGTAATCTATAGAGGACCTATTGAGGATAATCTTATTGTCTATTGTAGTCACTCCTAAATATGAATAATTGTTTAATAAAGTAGCTGTCCAAGTTCCAAGTTTGTGGGATTTTACTGTCTGTTAAAATATACCATAACAATGTACTTCTGTGCATCATGCTCTAATTTTAAACCATTGACACCAAGATAGAAAAAACAAAGAATTGCTACTTACATGGTCAAAAATACAGATTGCCAGATTAGCCACTTTTTATTTAAATTTCAAATGAAAACTTTTTTTCACATGCAAAGGGAACCATAACAATGGCCCCTTGGAGTGCTATATTAAAGCTGTAATTAGAAGCAGATTTAAAGACTGGCCAAACATTTGTAAATGGAGATTGAACAGAGTTGTTAAACAATTCATTCAACATCCATAAAAGTTTTTACCTTTCTAAGGATTATTTTCTCCTGACTCCAATCAGTCTCATTACTAAATACTCCTAAGGAAATTTTATCACCAACAACCTTATTTGCTGAAATGGAGAAACACCTATTTGGTTAGAAAATATTGATATGCTTGACATGATATGATATAAAATATTGATATGCTTCACTGAAGGGATGTATTAAGTGACTTTCAATACAAAATAAACTTCTCCTGTGTTTCTTAAAGGAACACAGACCAATTTCAAAGGAAAATCTAGCAGTACACATATCAGAGGTCACTTGAGGCTTTTTATCAGGCATCCCTTAAAGTTTATAAGGTTGGATTTGATAAGTGTTGCAGTTTTGATTTATTCAAGCCATCTTAATGTGTGATGTTTCAGAGGCTGAAATCCTTGGCCTTGCAGACATTGCGATAATCTTGTGACATTATAATATCACCCTCCTTTTCCAGGAAAAGATGTTAAGAAAATGAAAAGGTCATACTTTTTGATGAATATATAATAATTAATACAAGTGCTACTTAAAATAAGCAAATTCGACCCAAAATTAACAAACAAAATAAATGAAACATGTACACATGTAAGCTGCCTGGTGCTCATTCTGACCTTCCATGTGATACTGGTAAATTCCTTTTCCAAAACATACTTCATATGTCCACCATCCTTTATTCTACAAAAAAAAAAGGGAAGCATACACACATTTACAAGTAAGTTACAATTAATACATGTACTTAAAACTTTAACTCCCACAAGTGACTAACATCCAACTTCTCCATATTATATCCACATGTTTCCAGCAAACTGTTAATGAGAATACTCAGACTAAACAGGTAGAAGTTGTCATCTTGATCTTACACCAAAGTCTTGTAGCTAATTTAATTTATCTAATTTTTAGTCCTTATCCCAAGAGGACTAGAATGTCTAATCTTTTGCTGACTGCAAAGTAAAGGCAGCACATTCTCTTAGTTATTTTAACACCCTGAGTGTTGGTCTGGTATGAGGCCTGAGCCTGTAATGTCCCACACAGCAGTACCGTGCTCTAAAATGTGAGCTTATCAAGCCCAGAAACTTGGCAATTTTAATAAAAGCCTGATACCTGCAATCTACAACCACTCATAAGACCTCAAGTAAGCCCTTGTGCTTGGGATTCACCTTACGGCACAGCCACCTACCACACCATCTGAAGCTATTATGGAAAAAGTTACTGAAATTCTTGTAAACTGTTTTCTAATTACAATTATTACACCAGATGGCTTCTCTATCCTAATGTACAAATAGCTTCAAGAAGGCATACAAGCACTTACATTATACAAACACTTTTTCTTTATTGGTTCTAGAAGCTGAGGAATTTCATCTTTAGATATATGTTGGATATCCTCATCCTTTTTATCTAAATTCTCAAGCTGTGGTAGAACACACTGATATTGCTGTCCATGCTTGGATGATAATAACACTGTATTTCCAAGTTCTGAACTCTGAAATAGATGTGACATTATTTACAACATTATTTTCTAACCTACAAAAACAATAGATACTGTTTTTTCCAGAGAAGCGGACATGTATTGTGTGAATGATGAAAATTCACATGTGGATGCAAATTTTATCTTCAAGTGTTGACAATATTACTCACAAAAGAAAAAATGAAATGGGAATAAATTCATAATCACATTACACAGGCTGGGTAGTGATCAGTTTATTAATAGATATTAACAAAATATTCAAATCAAAGACAAACTTATGCTGATTTCCTTAACTCTTTAACTCCCAGAAGTGATTAACAGGTAACTTCACCCTATAATATTCATACATTATCGTGCAAACAGGTAATGAGGATACTCAAACATATCAGGTACAAGTTGTTACCTTAATATAAAACCCACTTCTTGTTACTAACTTACAAGGAAACTGTGTAGCAGCTAGAGGGTTGAATTAACAATCAGATCTTAGGAGTAAAAGGGTAAACGAACTTAGAACGTTCACTATTGCGATGATACGATGAAATCCTGATCAATTTTTGTGATAGAGATGTTGTTAGCTCTGCACCAATCACAAGAACCCAAGTGTTAACTTTAATTAAAAGTAAGAGAATGCATAAATCATCTTTAAGTACAAGGATCTGCTAATCCAGATCACAATGAAAAAAAACTGTAATGATAATCAAAACATCTTAAATGAAAAATTGGAATCCGCTTAATAATAAAATCTTCCGACGTCTCTCCATCTGCAGCTGCAGGTGCCCGTTCCTTGTTCGAAGCAGCTTATCAAAGCAAAATAAATTGACAAACGTCGCGTTACACCATTGGCGGATAGAAAAATCTCTGAAAATCTTACCTCTTTCAAGAGAACTGGCTCCCTAGAAATCTGAAATCCATACTTAACACCATATATTTCCTCCACGTTGAAGTTTGAATCCACTAAAGTGAAACAAACACTTAAAATGTTAAAAATAAACAACTCGCCGGATAGTTTCCCTCTGATCACCATTTTGTTGTTTAAAGTCCCGTCGAGACATCTGGGAAAAAAAGAAAACCTAACTTGGTAGCCTGGCAGAGTTTAGCTTGGTAGCCAAGCTCGGGGCTTAGTAACCAACTCAATCAAACATGGCGGACAAACGTCTTCATGTTCTTCTTCACCCAACTTCGCTTCGACAACACGTTCAGCAGTGGTTAGCTGAAGATACGCCAAGCTTTGATTATGGAGGTTTCGTTGTGGGAGAAAATGAAGAAACAGCAGTATTGTTGTGCAAATCTAGGGGTATTTTAGCGGGAGTTCCTTTCTTCGACGCAATATTCCGTGAGTTGGGGTGCAAGGTGGAGTGGGTGTTCTCCGAAGGGGTGCAAGTTGAACCCACGACCACGGTGGCAAAGGTAACTGGGAGAGTTAACAAGATTCTTCTGGGAGAAAGAGTGGCCTTAAATTGTATTACAAGAGCGAGTGGAATTGCGACAAAGGCTAAGAGTTTGGTGAAACTTAAGGAAGACCATAACTGGCACGGAGAAATAGCGGGAACTCGGAAAACTACCCCGGGTTTTCGAATCGTGGAAAAGTACGCACTTTTGGTCGGTGGTGTTTCCACCCATCGATATGATCTATCCTCCATGATCATGCTCAAAGACAATCACATTTGGACCGCTGGGAGCGTCACACGTGCCGTACAAGACGCAAGGAGGGTGGGAGGTTTCTCAATCAAAATTGAAGTGGAATGTCGAAGCATCGAGGAGGCAAGAGAAGCTGCCAGTGCAGAAGCTGATGTTGTTATGCTGGATAACTTTGAGCCTAAGGCTCTCCACAGAGCAGCTGAGGTCCTGAAGAAAGAATTCCCGCATTTACTGATTGAGGGAAGTGGAGGCGTTACAATAGAGAACATCGCGCAATATTTTGGACCGCATGTTGACGTAATTTCAATGGGGTCTCTAACACAAGGTTACGGTACAGTCAATTTTTCTCTGAAAATTCTGAAGGAAGGACATGATCCGCACAATCCACTTGTCAAAACTTTCTAATCGTTAGTAAGATGATGGCTACTCTATGTTCATCAGTTTGAATTTAGCGTACCTTGACAACTTACAATTTGTTAAATAATGAAAAGGATTTTCTTTTAAATAAGACACTGATGTGTTTGATTATTTTGATCAACAGGTTACAAAGAACTTTTAAACCGAAAATTACATTTCGTCCGTTGCATTTCTGCCTCCTTGGAATAAGTAAGCGCATCGTTTACAACACAAAGAAGGATTTTTCTAAGCTACGGAATAATAAATATTGCTCTGCTTAAGTAATGTTTACAAACGAAAAAGAAATCGTCACTCAGGGAATCAGTTTAAATTAGCAACTTTCAATTTGATCCTTTGCAGGTTTTTGAAGACTAGGGGAAGTCGGGGTCGTGCTCCTCCTCACATTCCTTGGGGCATTTTTTAGTCCGGAGGTTTTGCTCTTTTGTGGGATGTGGGGAAGTGTCGTAGGGAGGGAATCCAGTAATCCCTTATAGATGTGTCCGTCCTGTCCTAAGATATCCACCGGTTGAAAATCTTTCTGCGGGACGAGGAAGTCCAAGTCGTCCTTGTTAAGCTGAAGTCCACGAACAACCGACTGACTGTGGGGATAGGTGAGGGTATGGACTCCTCCACAGGCCCTTGCAGTAGCCTCGGCCAATTCTTGTAGATCGTGAACACCACTAATGATTAAAACAAAGTAGAATAATTATGACTGTTACGGTTTTCTTCAGTCAGTTTTGAAATATGTTTTACCCTGTCGTCATATTTGTCTACAACAAAAACCCTCCTAATGAAAATAAAGGATGTGAGGTAAATCAGTCCACTGATCAAAATTGTCGGACGTGACCAGTCTGTCTCAGTGTCTGGCGTTTGAAACCTGTATAAGTCTTTTTCCAAATAGTAAGTTTTTTTTCGTGAACCACCTCACTCTGAAACGAAATCCCAGAGAAATATTGCCTCAGTATAGTTGTTTAGGTGGCCATCAGGACTTACTGCTAAGAGGTTTATTAAATCAGCATTGTTGCGCCTCCTGTACAGCCGTTGTTTGGCCACGTAACGCAAGGCGTTTTCAGATGACGTGTTGCGTGACCATGTAAGGTGCAGATAACGTGTTGCGTGACCAATCAACAGTTGCGCAGGAAAATAGTATTTTAGTTCCTTTCTGTAAGTATGTCTGTAATCCATTCATTAGATAGATATAAGGTGGTAAAAGTATTTGTAATAAACTTTTTGGGTAATCTCATGCTTAAAATTTCACGGTAGGGTTAGATGGAAAGGGAGCACCAACCTAAGTCGTAACATTTCTTTCTGTAACTTGCTGCGTTGCTTCTCCAGCAGTTCAAACCTTTCCTTCGTCATCGACAGTCCTCCTGGGAGCATGTGCTGTCGGATCTGTTCCAGCTCGAAAGTGGTGTAGGGACGGGTCGACTTCGATCCCGGCATGCAGCGTATGGTTGGTAGAGGGGGAAAAGGCTCCTCTCTCGCGTATTTAACAGGGCGGTCACATGATATACAGTTGTGATTCACTAGGAACCGCTTTCGGATCCCTGCTGCCAATTCTTCTGGGGGCGGTCTTTCCACCGGTTTTGGTTTCATAAATTCCATTCGCGACTCCAGGTAACGCTTCAAGGGTTCAACTTCTTCTTTGTCGAGTTTCTTGCCCACGTCTGAGTGGATTGCTTCTATGGCTAATTTCAGCGCGTTTTCCTAAATGGGAAAGATAACGCTCAACTTTCTATTCCTCTTAACTCGAATCAAGTGCATAGCTAAATGACTCATGGACTGACTCTCCGACCGACCGACCGACCAACCGACCGATCCATGACAGACAGTCAGACGGTCATTCAGTCAGTCAGACTTACCGACTGACTGACTGGCCAACTGACTAAATGACTGGCCCGCTTAATGACTGGATGAATTACCCACGCTCAACACATCCAATGTCTGGATGACTGACTTATGAACTGATTGGAAGACTCACTGACTGACCGACCAATTGATTAACTAACCGACCAATTGATTAACTAACCGACCAACTGATTAACTAATCAACCGACTGATTGACCGACCGACTAACCAGCTGACCAACTGACGAACTGACTGACTAACTGACCAGCTGACCAACTGACTGACTGACTGACTGACTGACCAGCTGACCAACTGACTGACCAACTGACCAACTGACTAACCAGCTGACCAACTGACTGACCAGCTGACCAAATGACCGACTGACTAATCGACTGACGGACTGACTGACCAACTGATTGACTAATCAGCTGACCAACTAACCGACTGAGTGACTGATTAACTAACTAACCATCTGACCAACTGACCATCTGTGCAACTGACCGTCTGACCAACTGACTGATTGACTAACTTACTAACTGACTGACCAGCTGACCTACCAACTGACTGACTGACCAGCTGACCGACTGACCAACTGGCTGACTGACTGACTAGCTGACCAACTGGGTGACTGACTGACCAAGCGATTTGCTGACGGACGTATCAACCCATTAACTGATAGCAGGACCAATTTACCGAGTGACTGGCTGACTGACTAAACATGTTAAATCAGAAAAAAATATATGGTAATACAAGACAAGCGCGGTATTGATAGCATAAACCCCGACAAACAGGAACACCAAACTTCAACACCATTCTGATCCCGGCTTTTTCCCCAAGATTGCATATCGACAAGCCTCCCCTACCGGGATGCCTGTTTGCTTACAATAGGTCTGACCAAACGAAATATTACATCAAACTTACGTGGCCTTCTAATCTTTGCAGCAAATCTCTTAAGGACTGATCAACAAGACCTATGCAGTGCTCAAAGTCTTCCCTTCCAATCTTGGTTTCCACGTCTTTTTTATCAGCTTTCAGCTCAAATCCCATATTAAGCAGTTCTTTGTCGACTTTCACGTCTCTCAGTTCGTCAACAATGTTATAAAGGTCGTCCAAATGCCTCTGTTTCCTGTAAAGCTCGTCATTCAATCGGATGTCGGTCTGTTTCAGTTTTTCTTTTTCCTCTTGTAACTCAGATATCATGGTACGGATCAAACTCAATTCTTGTCGATCGACGCTGTACGCGCGGCGCCTGTACGTCGAAGTTTCCGACTTATGTTCTCTTTCTTCCTCTAAAACAAAATAAAAAATCGGAAGTTTTTATGAGATTTAGCACACTATTGTAATTATTCTCGACGAACTCAATTTTCAACTCACCTTCAGCGAATAATTATGAAGTGTACATCATAATCCGGTACGTAGAGGATGTTTTTAATGTTAATTATAAAATATTCAGAGAAATGCACGCGACGTGATTGGTCAGAACGAGTTCATTATATTTCCATAAAGCACGCGCCTTACGTCACACGAGTGCACTGTTGAGATATAATGCACGTAGCCTACGTCATCGGTACGAGCGCGCGCAATTCACGATACATTTCATAGATAATGGTAATTGAACTGAGTGGAGTGCAATTTGGGCTGAAATAATACGCGTGATTTCAAAATCGGTCGAGCGTGCAGCGCAAGTTCGATTTGAAATCACAAGTATGTTTTCCGACCAAAATTGCACGACACGAAGTTCAATTACCACTTTATTACATCCATTTTGAAATCGCCCAAATACAGGACTTGGTCAATTCAAATATTTTATTGATGCGATACTGAGCTGGTTTGAAATTAAATTTATCCATTTTTTGAGGGGGAAAGTAAGAGTTTTGGAAACAAAAGTAGCAAAATTCGCCATACGATACTCTTTGTCTATCATTTTCCTGCAATTTGACTGGTTACTTTAAACAAGCCTTGAAATCTGATTGGTTGTTTTGTTTTTAGTGTGGCCTGCTCACTTACTGGGAAAAAGATGTGATTTAAAGCAAAAATGGTGTGATTCATGAATAAATCGCACCAATTAGAGCCAATCAGATTACAAGCACTACCAGTGATTTCAAAATGGGTGTAATAAAAGAAATAACAAAACTTGTTCCTCGAGCATT